GTGAAACCCCATCTCTACTAAAAAGTATTAAAAATTAGCCGGGCATTGGTCGGAGGCGCCTGGGTAGTACCAGCTACTTAGTAGGCTGAGGCAGAGAATTGCTTGAACCGGGAGGCGGAGGTTTTGCAGTGAGCCGAGATTGCGGCCACGGTGCAACTCCAGCCGTGGGGGACAGGAGCATGGACTCCGTCTAAAAAAAAAAAAAAAAACTAAGAAAAAAACTCATATCGGCCGGAGCGCGTGGCTCAGCCTGAATCCCACGCACTCCTTGGAGGCGAAACGGGGGATCGGCGGGTCAGGAGATTGGAGACGTCCTGGCTCAACCACGGAACCCGCCGTCTGCCACTAAAAATCCAAGAAACTAGAGCGAGCGAGGTGGCCGGGCGCCCTGTTATAGTCGCCCCAGCTACTCAGGAGGCTGAGGCAGAGAATGGCGCGTCGCAAACCTGGGAGGCGGCTTGGCGTGAGCCGAGATCGGCCACTTGCACTCCTGCTCGGGCGACAGACGCAAGACTCCATCTCAAAAAAAAAGAAAAAAAAAAAAAGAAACATCATAATCATCATGACCGAGTTGAATTTATCCCCTGAATTTAAGGTAATTTTTTTAAAAACCTAAAAATGTCACTAACCCCATTAGCAGACAAAAGGGGAAAAAATAATTACCACAATGATTGCAGAAAAAAGTATTTGGTAAGTTTAATGCCCACTTAAAACCTCTCAGCAAACTAAAAACTAAAGGGAACTTGGTTAGCCTGATAAAAGCATTTCTACCAAAACCCCAAAGCAATCTTCATTCTGTGTTTAAATGTTAGAAACATTCCTTTTAAAATCAGGAAAAGAAGACAAAGATTCCAGCTACAACCACTCTATTCAACACTGAAGGTCCCAGCCAGAAAACCATGGGAAAAAAAGAATAAGAAATTGGAAAGAAAAAACAACTATTTCTTCTGCAAAAGATATTCACAGATCCTTTAACTGCTTAGAAAGCCTGAAACATTCTACAGACAAATGAGAATAAGAAAGCATATCAAGAAGTATGAATATAAGGCTGGGCACCGTAGCTCACGCCTGTTATGTCAGCACTTTGAGAGGCCAAGGTGGGTGGATCACCTGAGGTCAGGAGTGCGAGACTAACCTGGTCAGCATGGTGAAACCCTATCTCTACTAAAAAGATAAAAAAATTAGCTGGGCGTGGTGGCGCGTGTCTGTAATCCCAGCTACTTGGGAGGCTGAGGCAGGAGAATCACTTGAACCAGGGAGGCAGAGGTTGGAGTGAGCCGAGATTGCGCCGCTGCACTCCAGCCTAGGTGACAGAGTGAGACTCCATCTCAAAGAAAAAAAAAAAAGAAGTATGAATATAAGATCAATATACAATCAAAAATAAACTGCATTTCTCTATATAAGAAATAGAAACGTAATATTTGAAAAGTGTACCATTTGCAACAGAAGTCAAAAATAAAGAACCTAGGGACATCTATCGAAAAAAAGATGTACAAGATTTTATGGAGAAAATTATTGAAAGACATTCAAGACCTAAATAAATGGGGCAATATATGTCACTTTCATGGGTAGAAAGACAATTTCATAAGATGTCGGTTCTTCCCAAATTGATCTATAAATTCAATACAAATCCATCCAACAAAGTTTTTCAAGAAACTTAAAGAGATGACTCTAAAATTTATAACAAAGAGAATTAGCCGGGCGTGATGGCTCATGCCTGTGATCCCAACACTTTGGGAGGCTGAGGTGGGCAGATCACTGGAGCCCAGGAGTTTCAGACCAGCCTGGAGTAACATAGTGAAACCCCACCTCTACCAAAAAAAAAAAAAAAAAGCAAAGATTAGCTGTGCATGGTGGTGTGCCCCTGTAGTCCCAGCTCCTCGGGAGGCTGGGGTGGGAGATCGCTTGAGCCCAGAAGATGAAGGTTGCAGTGAGCCCAGATTGTGCCACTGCACTCCAGCCTGGGTGACAGAGCTAGACCCTATCTCATTAAGAAAGAGAGACAGAATGAAAACAAAAATAGCCAAGACATCCTTGATGAAGCACAAAGTTGGCACGGCTTCATGTTTCAGACATCAAGACTTAAATAGCATCGATAATTAGACCGTGTGGTTGGGAATCAACGAAAACGACCAATGAAAGAAACAGGGAACTGAAAAATGATCCATGTATCTGTAAAAATGTGGTGTGCGAGAAGGATGGCACCGCAAATCAGCAGGGAAAGCGTGAACTATAATAAATGATGCTGGGACAGTGGCTTATCGCCATGGAAAAAATAAAATCCTTAATTTATACCACCACACACAAAAATCAATTCCAGATGGATAAAGATTTAAATATAAAATGTAAAATGTTATAAGTTCTAGAAAAAAAGCAAAAAAAAAAAATACTTTATAACTTTGGGTAGGGAAAACTTCTTTAAAAAACACAAAAAGCAGAAATCACAAAGAAAAAGACTGATGAATTTAAGTACGTGAAAATAAAAATCTTCTGTTCATCCAAAGACACTATAAATAACCTAGGAAGATGAGCCACAAATTGGGAGAAGATATTTGCAATTCATAAGTGACAAATGATTATTATCCTAAAAATATAAAGAACTCCTAAAAACCACTAAGAAAGCAACAGAAAACCCAATAGAAAATTAGGTGAAAGACATGAACAGGCATTTCATAGAAAAACAGACCTGAATGGCCAATGATGACTTGAAAATCTGTTCAACCTCATTAGTCATCAGTGAAATGCAAATTAAGACTATAGAGAATTACCATTTTATACAAACCAATGTGGCAGAAGTGAAGAAGGCTTGCAAATTTTGATCTTGATGTAGAGCAACAGAAACTCTTACACACTGCTGCTAGGAAAGAAAACAGGCAGAGTTGCTTTGGAAAGCAACTTGGCACTCTTATTAAGCTGAAGATGCATGTACTCCATAATCCAGCGATTCTATTTCTAGAACCTTGTGTGCAGGTGCATCTAGAGATCCACATCAGAATATTCATAGCAGTCTCATTTGTGATAACAAGAAAACTAAAAACCAATCGAATGCCCATGGATGACAGAATGAAGAAGTCAATTGTGATACAGCCATACAATGGGAAACTACACATTTGTAAAGTACATGAACTGCAGCAAAATATCCACATGGGTAATTTTAGAAATATGATGTTGAGTTAAGAAGTAGTGTGTGATTTCATTTTTATAAAGCCTGAAAATGAGCAAAACTATACAATGCATTGTTTGGGGATATATGTACACATGGTAAAACTAATCCCCAAAAGGCTGGGCGCGGTGGGTCATGCCTATAATCCCAGCACTTCGGGAGGCCGAGGCGGGTGGATCACCAGGTCAGGAGATCGAGACCATCATGGCGAAGACGGTGAAACCCCATCTCTACTAAAAATACAAAAAATTAGCCGGGCACCTGTAGTCCCAGCTACTAAGAAGGCTGAGGCAGGAGAATGGCCTGAACCTGGGAGGCGGAGCTTGCAGTGAGTGGAGATCGCGCCACTGCACTCCAGCCTGGGTGACAGAGCAAGACTCCATCAAAAAAACAAACAAAAACTACCCCCAAAAAAGGTAGGAAAATTATAAACACAAATTTCAAGGGAGGCTGGGCACAGTGACTCACACCAGTAATCCCAACACTTTGGGAGGCCAAGGTGGGCGGATCACTTGAGGTCAGGAGTTCAAGACCAGTGTGGCTAACATGGTGAAACCCTGTCTCTACTAAAAATGCAAAAACTGGCTGGGCGCGGTGGCTCATGCCTGTAATCCCAGCACTCTGGGAGGCCAAGGTGGGTGGAACACCTGAGGTCAGGAGTTCAAGACCAGCCTGGCCAACATGGTGAAACCCTGTCTCTACTAAAAATACAAAAATTAGCTGGGCGCGGTGGCACGTGCCTGTAATCCCAGCTACTCAGGAGGCTGAGGCAGGAGAACTGCTCCATCCCAGGAGGCAGAGGTTACAGTAAGCCAGGATCGCGCCACTGCACTGCAGCCTGGGCAACAAAGTGAGACTCCGTCTCAAAAAAACAAAAAAATTAGCCGGATATGGTGGCAGGTGCCTATAATCCCAGCTACTTGGGAGGTTGAGGCAGGAAAATCGTTTGCACTTGGGAGGCAGAGGATACAGTGAGCCGAGATCATGCCACTGCACTCCAGCCTCGGCGATAGAGCGAGACTCCATCTAAAAAAAAAAAAAAAAAAACCACAACAATTTCAAGGGAATATTTACATATAAGAAAGAGGTAGGGGATATAGCTAGGGAGGTGTACCAAGATAATGTTCTAATTCACCAATGAGGTTCATTGCTGTTTGTTGTATTGTTATGATTTTATGACTTTCATAAACATTACATATTCTCTTCTGTACAAATCAACACTAAACAGAATAAAAACATGTGGGATGAAGCAAGTTATGACACAGACCTAGTACATGACGGCTGACTCACTATATTCTGTGAATACAAGCACAGCCCTAAGTGATTTTGCACACATTATCCCATTTAGTCTTCACATCAGCCCTACCAGCAGAGGCGATCTGCATTCCCATTTTATACATGAGAAAACAGACATCCAGAGGGCTTAAGCAACTTGCCCCAGGTCACACAGCTAAGAAAGGGAGAGGCAAGCCCAGGTCCGACTCTGTATCGGTCTCTCTCAGCCACTGTATCCCCACCTCTCACATAACAGGTGCTCAATAAGGGGTGAGGCCACTCTGATCCCTCTGTTCCTACAGCAGCACCTCCTCTTGACAATTGTCACAACGGACCTTGCATTCCTCTTATGCTAGCAGAATTCCTTGCAAGACTCCTCCAGTACACAATGCAAAAATGCCACCTGTGCTGGCTCTGTACCCAGTAGGTATCCAGCAGGAGCACCATAGATGCTTCACTTTTGGTTGCAGGTGTTACAGAACTCATCTGATGTGGGGACCCTATTGTCTCAGGTCGGGAGCCCCGGAGCCATGAGGAAGGGGTAGGAGGGCCGGGCACTCACCCCGGGTGCTGTAGCCATGGGTGTCCATGAAGGACAGGCCCAGCCGCTCGTCCTCCTGCAGGGTGCTCTGGTCTGTGAAGCTGCGGTCCACAGCACTCATCATGTGTGTCTTCTCCTGGCGGTAGTTGACGGTGGCCTTGGTCATGTTCACCGGCTTCCTGGAGAGGGGGGTTGAGGGGAGACACAGGCACTGTGTGGGGCTGGACAGCACCCAGAGGTGGGTGGGGAGGACCTGGAGTAAGGGGGCCTCAAGGCCAGGAACCAGCAGCTATCCTAGAAGCATCTCTGGATGCTGAGGGCTCTGCCTCCATCCTTCATTCACTAGACCCAGAGCTTCTGCTTCCCTGAAAAGGGCTTGGGAGAGCCCATCCTAGGGACCTCTGCTAAGGGAAAGGGGTGGAGCAGCAGTGGCCTCAGGCTGGGATCCCACTCCTAAGTTTCACTGGCCCCCTGGGCTTAGGAAATGGGAAAGAAAGTCACTCCAGAGCTAATGTGGTATTACAGCAGACAGCTCCCCTCACCCCCACTGCACCCCAAACTAGAAATATGGCTAGTTCAGCTCCAGGCCCAGCATGTCCCCACCTCTCTCTCTTCTCCCCGTGTTAAACAGGCACTGCTCTCCAGACTCCTCTTTCTCCTGCAGGAAGGAGGGACTACAACCCCTCCTTCCCCGCAGAGGGTCTGGCTCATGCTCAGCCAGGGCTCGGGGGCTTCCCCCATACACACAATGAACTCTGCCCTTGGCTTCTCCCTATTCCCAGTAGCACCCAGGATGGTCCCAGCATAGACCACCACAGACTTGTAAAGAGACCCACAGAAGGTCCAGATTCCCACCACCGACCACCAGTCCGTCCTGCTGCTCAGAGCAGCAGGGAAGAGAAACAGAGACCTCCTCTCCCTCCAGGCCCAGCTTCATGGATGAGGATGGCAGTTTGTGGCTTCAAAGGAACTTGGAGGAAAGTGGGAGGGAGAAAAGGAGGTGGGGAGACAGGGCTGTGGACAGAGGACAGCCGGCCAGCCTGGCTGAACATGGAGCCCAGAGAGGACCCATCAGTGAGCGGATGCTGGCCTAGAGGGCGGTCTCCTGTGGTGTGCCACAGATTCTGCTCCCAGCCCAGGACTCTTGGCCTACCTGGAAGAAGAGCTACAGAAACAAACCAACCCGATCCCCAGAAGATGGAAACCGGGAGGGACACCTAACGCTGTTGGCGTCCAGCTGAGCTCAATGCGAGATTAAGCAGAGGGAATTTAATACAGATTCTTTGAAAAGTTCTGCATCTGGTTTTGAAAACTAACTGCACAAGCAGCAGGGAGGGAGAGCTGTCTGTCAACAGCCCCTACAGGAGCCGAGCTGGGGGCTCAGCGCGAGTCGCTGGGTGTTGAGTTGCTGGAAAAGCTCGTGTCAGGAAACAGCAAGGTAAGGAGCCATCCAGGGAGGAAAAGGTGAGAGACCCACTGTCCTCAAGGCTGGCCTGGCACTCTCTGGGCCTGCTCTTCGAGGGAAAACCAGCACAGGTGCGGAAAGAATGTTCTGGAAGGCTTGCAGAGTAGAAGACAGAGACAGAAGACAGAGTAGCATAGGCAGGCTGTGGTGTCAGCAGGGGCCTGGGTTGTATCCCAGCTCCGGCGCATTCTGCGACCTCCCACAAGTCCCTCGGTCTGAGCCTCAGTTTCCTCATCAGTAAAGTGGGAGTGATAAGAGCTCCTATTTCTCAGAGCTGTTTTGAGGACTCTGTCAAGAACTCAGCACAGGGCTTGGCCCAGAGGAGGCTTCCAGGAAGTGGTGGGTCTGCAGAGCCGGGGCTGCCTGGCTGGAGAAGGGATCTGTGGGGGCCTGAGAGTTGCCTGTGCTGTGGGAGGTGCTGCCAGTCTCAAAACAAGTAGGCCCCACCCACATGCACACAAGCACACACATGCACATGGACGTGGGCTCCAGAGTGTGTCCTGAATGTGGATTTGGTTGGAGGTCAGGACATCCTTCTAACACGGAACAGTAGACGTAAGGGGCTGCTCTGGTGGTGAAGGGGACATTGAGGTTCAGGGACTTGCTGGGGGTAACTCAGCAGGGCCAGCTCTGAACCCATGCCTCTGAGGGGCAGAACCAGCACCTGTGACCACGACTTGAAGAGGAAGATGCAGAGGGGAGGGACAGAGCAGAAGAGAGAAAGTCAGAGGCCGAGGTGATCACAAAGAACAGGGTGGACACCAGGCCACACTGGGTGCAGTGAGACTAAGCCCAACCAGAGAGGGCGGGGGCAGGGGATCTCCCCCTAGGCAGGGCCGGGGACTCCCAGGCAAGGTGGAGCTACTTACGGGTAGTAGGAGTAGGCATAGTGGTCTCTCCTGGCAGCATGCAAAGAGAGAACAGCACAGTCGTGTTCGAGGTCCATCCACCAAGGCCAGGCTGAGGCAATGCCCATGCAGCAGGGTGGGGCCTGAGTGCTTCCCAGGCTGGGGAGGGGGCTGGCCAGGTACTGGACAAGTCAGAAGGACCTTCTTGGTCCCAAGAGCTGGTCAGGCTCAGATATTAATGACCAAGACCCAAGGCCCTTCTGGAACCTTCCCCAAGCCTACTGCAGGAGTGAGGAGGAGGTGGGAAAAGGGCCTGGGGGGCCACAGAGCTTTCACACACAGTCATACACATATGCACACTCACACACACATGTAGATATAGGCTCACATACACTCATACACGGAGAAACACACATCAACACACACAAATGCAGACACACAGGTGCAGACAGGCATACACACGTATTCAAACACACTGACACACACTTAGACATATATTCACACACATACACACACACACACATATTAGACATCCCTGACACACACAGACTCATACTCTCCAGGCTAACTGCACTTACCAGGGCTGTTCTCGTCCCTGCAGACAGCACCCCACCCTCCCTCCCTGCACGGCACCTCTGCCCCTAAAGGGTCAGCCTTTTGCCTGCACCTCCACCTGGGTGGGGACAGAAAGGGGGCAGAGTGGAGAGGACTCCAGATGGATGCCCAGGATACACCTAGCACCCGCCCTCGCCCACCCTGCAGGCCCCTGGGTGCGGGATCCACTGAAGGAGCCAGGTCATCCCCTCCGGGAGCACCTGGAGGACAACTTCGGTCAAAAGCCCTACCTTACCGCAAAGCACCCACAGTGTAAAGCAGGTTGGATTCCCATTTCACAGGCAGGGAAGCTGAGTCAGGGAGCATGGGCTGCCTGGGCCTCTCTGGGAGTCAGTGGCAGAGTCCAGAGCAAACACCTGCCCCAGGACCCTGGCCCTGGAACCTCCTCTGTGCTCCCTTCCCAGGCTCTTCAGAGGTCTCCATTCACTTGCCCCCACATCACCCTGTCAGCAGGGACCCCAAAGAATGACCTTCCACAGGAAATCCTGCAGATGAAGGGGAGGAGAGTGGAAGACGGACCAGCAAAGGCAGCCGCTTGGCCCCAGGTCACAGAGCACATCTCCTCCATCCCAGGGAGAGAAGGAAGGGTCCAGGGCGCTGGAGCTGTTGCAGAGGCCCCACGAGGGAGGCCATGACTGAAGAAATGGCATTCTTCTGGCCTCAGCTGACACACTGTGCCTTCAAAAGGGCCTTCCTGGACCACTCTCCCACGAGTGCCAGCTACATGACATCTCCTATATTCTCTTTGCCCCCAACACCCAGCACCTTGTTCTTTTCACAATTTGTAATTATCTCATCCATTTGTGCTTTTTTCTAATTTCATGCCAGGCTCTCCACTGGCTACAAAGTACACGAGGACAGAATCCTTGTCTTTTTGTCTCCCTCGGTTTCCCCAGGGCCCCACACATTGCAATCCCGCAATAAATATTTTGTTGAATGGAGTAATCAATAAATGAGTAAAAATAAATAAAAGAACTTCACCTCCATGCGCTTCCACTTTCTTCTTTAAAAAGTGAGGTTAAGGCTGGGCGTGGTGGCTCACACCTATAATCCCTGCACTTTGGGAGGCCAAGGTGGGTAGATCACCTGAGGTCAGGAGTTCGAGACCAGCCTGGCCAACATGCTGAAACCTTGTCTCTACTAAAAATACAAAAAATTAGCCGGGTGTGGTGGCGGGCACCTGTAATCCCAGCTACTCAAGAGGCTGAGGCAGGAGAATCACTTGAACCCAGGAGGCGGAGGTTGCAGTGAGCCAAGATCGCACCACTGCACTCTAGCCTGGGCAACAAGAGCAAAACACTGTCTCAAAAAATACATACATACTCATCCTGGCTAACATGGTGAAACACCGTCTCTACTAAAAATACCAAAAAAAAAAAAAAATTAGCCAGGCGTGGTGGTGCGTGCCTGTAGTCCCAGCTACTTGGGAGGCTGAGGCAGGAGAATGGCATGAACCCGGGAGGCAGAGCTTGCAGTGAGCCGAGATCAAGCCACTGCACTCCAGCCTGGGCAACAGAGCTAGACTCCGTCTCAAAAAGAAAAAAAGAAAAAAAAACACATACATACATACATAGTGAGGTTAATAATAATCTCCCACAGGGACTGCTGTGAGGCCCCAGCACCAGGAAGCACCCAGCAGTGCCCACAAACCACTCCTCCCTACACCTCAGAGTGGGGAGACCCGACTCCCCTGGGCTAGATCGTGGGTATACACAGACAAGACAGGGCTTTCTCTGCCCTCGTGGACCTCTTAACCCAGGAGGGAAGACAAACATTGAGCAAAACACTACAAGTAAGTAAATGACAAAGTGCAGGGAGAAGGAAGTGCTGCCATGGAGAAGGGTGGGGTATGGGGACTTCTGAAAGCAGAGCCGGGGGATGTGACCTGGCCTGGGGTCACCAGCCTCCCTTCCAGGCCCTGGAATTCCCCTACAGCAGATGCATCCAGTCTGATCGTCCACAGAGGCAGGGCAGGATGGAGAATCTGAAATCTCCTCCCAGCTGGCCCCCATTTCCCATAATCCCCCTGGGTCTCCCTCCTGCCTCCAATAAGGCTCCACGGGGGTGTAGTAACTGCCCTCCTCAGCAACCTCCTACTCTTGTTACTTATGTTGGCACCCCAAGTTGATCTGAATACCCCCATCCCTGCCAGGGCTGCTGCATCCCATGATACCCACAATGCAGACTGCAAGAGCCCTGGGAAGCACGGAGGGCCCTGAAGGCCAGGCCCAGATCCAGGAGGATGCAGTAGGTGCTACACAGTGAGACTGAATGGCTTTTAGAGGAAGTAAGGAGGTCCGGGGTGATGGGGGATGAGGGGTTCCTGGAGGCATCTGGGATAACCTGGGTTTACAGGGTAGCAAATACATAATGGAAGGTCTCCTAGTGAGGCCCTGACAACATTTCTGATCCACCCTGTCCTGGGCCCAGTGCTCTCTTTGCAGGGATGGGTGACACCCCCTACTCTGCCAATCCTCTTCTCCTTGAGGGTAGATTTCTAGAACCTCAAATACCACCTGAAACTGAAATCTGCCTCCTCCATCCATTATAGGCCTCTCCAGCCCCAGCCCTATTTCGAGTCAATTCTCAGGCCCCCCTGCTGGGGAGAAGTCAGGGGCTTGCCACTTTGGGGGCACCGCCTATGTATCAGACTGGGTGACGCCTTCACATTTGTAGGCGAGCCTGAGTTGAAGTCAGGCCCTACTGCCCATCAGCCAAGTGGCCTGGGCGAATGCTTTCATTACAGTTTCTTCATCCAGAAAAAAGGGAGTCAGTCAAGATCCAAGCAGGAAATGTTCTCTGACACATCCCGAGTGCCTGGTACACAGTAGGTGTCTAATAACTAATGTACTCCTGGATGATGTGTGTGAAGCTCCTGGCACATAGTAATTCCTCATTAAATGATACTTTAAAATAGTCTCTCTTAAAGCTGTGCAGGAACAACGAGAGGAAAAATCAGAGAGTATCGCCCTGACTGGGCCATCCCCCCACATCTCCTCCACTCCACTGCACACTCCACCCCTAGACCCTCTCTCTGTTGCTGGTGTCTGGCCTCAGGAAAGGTAGCCCCAGCCAGCTCTCTCTCATCTTCCTGGATCCTATTATCTGCTCCCGGCAGCCCAGAGATATAGCCAACTCATCCACGTATACCCAGCCTGGCAGCAGTAGGGGCTATAGAAGCCAGAGCCCAGGTGGGGAAGGGTGGAGCTGGCTCTGCCTCTGGCTCTCTGGGTGGCCTTGGGCAGCCCTGCATCCCCTCTAGGCCTCAGCATCCCCATCCCTCATTTAAGGTGCTTGGACCACAGTGTCCCACAGCTGCCTGGTGGGGAACATGGTGGGGCAGAGCTGGCAAGCAGAAAGGTCCCAGAAGCCCCCACCCAGCCTCCGACCAGCACTGCTGCTCAGCCTTCATCTGCTCCATGTACTAGGCTCCCAGGGAAGGGTTTTCTGGTGTTTTGAAGGCAGGTTCTGTTTCTTTAAAAAGATTTGATAAACCACTAGACTAGATGGCCTTGAACTATCCGGCAGCTCTTACGTTCTGGGGCTCTGAGCCTCTACAATTCTAAAGCCTAAGATTCCTAGAGTCCTAAATCCTACATTTCTGAAACTGCAGGATCCTAGGTTCTGGATTCTACAATGTCCTGGGATTTATGCTGCCCTCTGCAAATCTGCTAGGAAACACATTTCGTGCAAACACAAGGCTGGACCTTTGAGACCTGAGGGATAGTAGGGGCAGCAGGTGGAGAGTTTTCTCAGTCACAGGCCCAGGAGGGTTCCTCAAGGATCCACAGTAACAGGGTCCAGGGCAATTTGAGCCTGAGAGAAGGTGGGTCCCAGGAAGAGACATGGCTCAGGGCCCTTGGGTTAAAGAGGAGTGAGCTCCATCCCCTGCTCAGGTCAACTGCACAATCCATGAGCAGGGCAGACACCTTGGCTGAAGGTCTGCAGAGGGGTAGGGGTTCAAAGCCAGGTCACCTCCATGCCGTCCCTATTGAAAGAGTCCCAGCAGGGTAGCTCCTTGGCACCATGCACTGAGCACCCCTTCCTGAACAGCAGCACCTGGCACCAGCCAGACCTTACTCCAGCCATGCCACTCCAGGGCAGCCCCATCTGCCCAGTCTCTGGCTTCCCACCACCCAGCTCAGATCCGTCTGCAGAGCTGATGCCCAGGCTGGCAGCCCTCCACACACCTGCAGGACAGCTGTCCTACCAGCTCTTAGCCACTACTCCTCTGTGCCACCAGGCCTCTAAGGGGTAGAAGCCACTGGTGGGACAGGGCACTGGCCTCACTCACCCTTTGCGGATGATGACAATGATGGCACCCAGGAGAAGGATGAGGACAGCAAGCCCCCCTGCACAGATGCCCAGGATAAGCCCCATCTCCTCCGATCTCTGGGACACCTCCAGGGGCCGCTTGCTTTCCTTGCAGGCAGCTGGGGAGAACAAAGCAGAACAAGGGATCAGAGGAGAGACAGGGACCATCGAGCCCCTCCTGTAGGTGTCTCTGCCCAAGGAACAAACTGGGCTGCACAAACCACCCCACATCCTCAACACATGTCCTGCCTTTCCAGCAAATCTACCTCCTCACCATCCCTGACACCTCCTGCACTTCCACGCCACAGTCCTCACTGACATGGCTCCTTTGCCAGGAATAGCTTCCCTCACTCCCCACTTTCTCAGATCCTCTCAGCTCTCAGTAGATAGGGGAGAGCAGACACCTGGGCCTTCAGCCCCACCCTCTTGCCCTCCTGGGAGGTAATAGGGATTAGGAATTGTGTACCTAGGGCATGGTTAGTCCATCTCAGGATGGGAAACCAACCACATTCCCTGTGTGAAAGCATGAAAGATACCTACAGCACAGGGCCCATGCTGACCTCACCTTCTCCCCCACCACAGGAAAGCCGGGTAGATATGTAACCTAGAACCAGCACCCAGTACCCATCACCCCCAGGGCACAACTGTAATGGCTCCTCTCCACAAGCCTGCTCCAGGCCCCTGCTGTCAGCCTGGGAGTTGGCGCCCTTGAGGTAAGGCACATGGAAACCCAGCAGAGAAGCCCTTCCTGGCCCCAGCCTGCCCAACCACCCTCCTCTACTCCCACAGCCCTAGGTTCTCAGGATCCACCTCCCCAGCACTGGGCAGGTGAGAAACCTGCCGCTGAAGGGCTGCAGGAACCCAGCGGACTTACCTTTCCTGGCAATGCGGATGCAATTCAGCCGGGTCTCCTGGAGGCACAGATGGGGGTCTCAGCGCTGCTGAAGCCCCGACCTCTCCCTCCCCAGGGTGGGAACCTCAGACAGCTTTCTTGGGCCTGTTCAGGGCTTTGTCTGGCGCTGATGGCATCAAGGGACACCCCACCCGAAGGCAGGCCTGGGGGGACCCTTGAGAGCGGGGCCTAGAGGGGAGGCACCTGCAGTGCCTTAGGAAAGGGGGATGAGATCGGAGGCAAAAGAGAAACAAACGTCATGGGGAAATGGGCGAGGCCTCGGACAACGGGGCAAGGCCTAGGGCCAGAAGTCCAGCTAGGAAGTGAGAAACCAGGCAAGAAACAGAGAGGAGCCTGGAAGATAGGGCGGGGCTTCAGGGAGGAGCAGGTCCTAGGCCTTAACACAGGAACCTGAGATGGACTCCTCCGGGAAGAGAAATATCTAAGATAGAAGGCAGGGCCTCAGGAAGGGGCAGAGACTAGCCTGGGGACCTGGATAGAAAGGAGGAGCCTGGGAAAGAAAGCTCAGGAAGTGGATAGTGTTCTGTGAGAAGGAGCCTGGGGTCTGGAAGGTTGGCTATGGGAGGGGTGGGACCATGGGGGAGGGGCTACGGGAAGGAGGGCTATGGGGGAGGGGCTGTGGGAGGCGAGGCTGTGGGAGGCAGGGCTATGGGAGGCGGGGCTGTGAGAGGTGGGGCTGTGGGGGTGGCTCTACGGAAGGTAAGGCTATTGGAGGTGGGGCAATGGGAGGTGGGCAAAAGGAGACAGGGCTATGGGAGGGGCAAGGCTATGGGGGAGGAGCTGTGGGGGTAGGGCTATGGAAGGTGGGGCTACGGGAGGTAAGGCCATGAGGGTGGCCTATGGGAGGAGGAGCTATGGAAGGTGGGGCTATGGGAGGTGGGGCTATGGGAGGTGGGGCTAAGGGAAGGGCCGCGCGTGGAGTCTGTGCTGGGCCTGCTGCAAGGTATCCCCTATCTGCCATCCCCCACACCCAACCACGCCCACCATGACCCTGGCCGGTCCCTCACCCCCTTCAGGTGGCTTGCTGCCTGGAAGTAGATGAGATAGGCCTTCCTAGGCTCAAGCGGTGGGTTCCAGAAGCCTCGGTAGGTCTGGTTGTCACCCACGGTAAAGGGCATGGCCTCAGGTAGACTGCTGGCCGCCAGTTCGGCCCCGAAGTAGTGCACCAGGCCTCGAGCCAGCGCCGCCTCAAAGGTCAGTGGCACTGGGAAGCAGTCCTGTCCACCTGGCTCCCGCCGCAGCCTCCGCGCCCGCTCCTCCTCCACAATCACCTGGTACACACTGAACAGGGAGGAGAGCATACAGGGGATCACAGGCGGCCAGAGCACTGGGAGAGCCAGCTGGCAGTTAAAGGCATGGGCTTTGTGGTCAAAGCCTGGGGACTAACTTCCACACTGCCTCTTACTAGCTGGGCAAATCCCCTAACCTCCCTGGGCCTTGGTTTCCTCCTTCATAAAATGGTAGTGATTGTGAGACTGTTCCAGAAGGTAGATGGGAAGAATAGGCAAGTTAAGCAAGCAGCCAGCGCATGTCAGCGGTTATTCCTGTTACTAATCCAGGCTAAGAGGATCGTGGACCCTGCTCAATAGAACCAAGCCATAAGGCCCCATCCTGCTTCCTCCATGAGTCCTCCTGTGTGTGTGACACAAGACCTGGGAAACCAAAGCGACTGACAGCTCCCTTCTGGGACTCAGTAAATGACAGGGTTAGCCAGATTCATTCATTCATTCATTCATTCAGAGTTGACCAAGCTCAGATGATGAGCCCTGTGCTAGACACTAGGCATCTGGGCTTCCTAAAACTGACCTCTAGTGAGAGACAGTCATTTAGCAAACAAGGACACCCAACACTATGTCTCTAGCACCCTCTCAATGCCGAGGCAGCCTCTGATCAGCAAATCAGAGCCAGCAAACCAGCCTTCATGCTGTCTCAGGATCCTGACTACCCACTCTGGTTCGTGCTCCCTGGTCCTGGACTGTGTTTCTGTTTTATCTCTTTACTAAGTAGGTTTCTGCTATGAGCTCCTCCAAATCCTCTGCAGAACAAAGTGGAGAGTAAATACGTGAATGCTGACAAATTTAAATATTTCCAGTTACAGTCTCGGTCACATCTTGGTGTGTGACATCCCACACTGACAGCCTCTGCTCAGGGAAGCAGAAATGCCTTTTCCTTGTTCACCAGATGTTTCTTTTGAGCGTCCAAGTTGTGGGGAATCATCCCAGAGTGTTGGACACCAGCCCATGGCTTGTCACTAGCCCATTATAAACACCAGTCCAAGCCCCTCTCAGCCTCCATTACCCCAGGCTAAGGTCAGCCCTCTCCTAGCCCTAAGTCCCACTGGGAGGTAATCATTAACATTAGCCATGAACAAAGTGCATCTTAATCTAGAATAATCCTCATTGTGCAGATACAGAAACGGAGGCTCAGGAAGGTAATGGGATATGCCCAGGGTCACGCAGCCATCTTGCCGCTCCCCCTCCCACCAAGTCCCATCCCCTGCCCCCACCTAGCCTTGAAATCATCATCCTGAGAGACCCTGACCAGTGCTGCTCACAGGATCCCTCAGGAGGACAAGGACGGAAGGGTTCTCAACCCCTCCCAGACTCAGCGGCACAAGGGCCCTGAGGCTCCAGCAAAAGGCAAAAGACCCTGCAGACCCCGTGACTTTTTCCCAGGTCTTCCTTGAGGGTCTGGGAATCAGCCCAGGGCAGGATTTGCAGTGGCAAATACAGGAAAGAGAAAGCAGAAGAGGAGAGGATCCAGTGGTGGGGGGTGAGGAGGTGAGGGACTGCCACGGTCACCCGGGCAGCCCACTCTCTTCCTGGTGAACTGACTAGGATCCTCACACACCCCCCTCCCCCACCTAAAGGCTGTCACCCTCTCCCAGAACATGTACCTTCGTGGAAAGAAGGAGTGGACCAGAAGGGCAGGGAGGCTCTATAACTTCTAGAAAAGGTACAGGCACAGCAGACAGACCTGGCTTCCAAATCCCAGCTCCACCACTGACTAGCAGTGTGGCCTTGGGGGCAAGTGATTTAGGCTCTCTGAGTCAGTTTCCCGATATGTAAAATGAAGGTAATAAAACCCATTCCATGGGACTGCCATGAGGATAAATGGCTTCATGCAGATAAAGCCCCTAGCACAGGGTCTAACAGTACGTGCACACACTTGCACAAACGCCCTCACGCTCTCACACATGCACACTTATGTCTCCCACACGCACTTCTCACACACCACACATCCCAGGTCTGTATCATAAAGACACACCCAGGTTCACATCCCATGTACACACACACACACACACAAACACACACAGTCTTGTCTCCAACACACTCTCCCTAGCAGAGGCAGTCACCACGGCACCAGCAAGCCCAGCTTCCTCTGGGGAGATGAGGGGGAGAAGCCAAGCCCCTAGCCATTCCAGAGAGATGGCCCTGTCTGGCTGGCTGCCCTAGCCTTCTAGAAAGCCCATCTCTATGCTTCCAGGAAAAGGCTGGGATGATATAAGGTCCCCAGAGTTTCACTTCTCCAAGGTGTCTGAGGAAAGGCCCCCTGGACAGACCTGGACAGTCCCCTCTCCAGGCTGGACCTATCCAGGGTCCTCCTGACAGTTACCATCTAAGACCCATGGCCTCAGAGGGGAGAGACTGCAGGCTTCTCGCCTGCCAAGCATCAGAACATCCTCCTCCAGACACTCCGAGCCCTGCATGGGAGACTGAGGGAGGAAAAGGGTGAGCTGGCCTAGGTTGGGGCTCTGGGTCAGAGGAGGGGACTCTTCCCCATGGCCCTGGCCTCCCATCCCTCCGTCCCCGCTTTCCCACCTGATGGGCGCACCGCGGCCCTGTGCCGGCCTCAGCAGCACGGTGATGGTGTTCTCAGACTCGCCCAGGGGAGACGGCATGTCGGCATAATCAAAGCTGGGAGCTGGGGAAGGGGACAGGGTCATAAGCATGGAGCTTGGCCACTGGACCAGGAAGACCAGGCTTCCAGCCTCCTTGACCACAGTCCTCAGATCTCCCCTACTTTAACCTTAGCCTCTTTGTTCCTGCTGACATGACCTGAGCTACCCTGGCCTCTGACCTCAGGCACCAGCCCCAACCTCAACCTTCTGATTCCACTGACCACAGTCTCCTGACTCCTCTGACTTCATCCTTCCTGAGCCTGACTTTAACTCCTAAACGGCATATTCTTCTCAGCAGGGGCCCTCTGTAACTACCCCTGCCATGCCCCCCATTTCCCCTCTGCCTATGGAACCCTGGGATTCTGGGCCACCTCCAAAGAGGCTGGGCCAGGTCAGGTGGGGCTCACCAGAGATATTGGTGGTTATCTCAGTGAGTGCTGCCTGTCCGAAGCCTTTGCCTGTGCGGGCCCGCACGGAGAACAGGTAGGTGGTGCCTGGGTGCAGGTTGGAGAAGACGTGGTAGGTCTCGTTGCGGAGCTTGGAAATGGTACGTCGTGGGCCCGGCACGTTCACCGCCGGGTCTGATGACTCAATGCTCTGGTAGCTGATCTGGGGGCAGGATCGGCAGGCAGGTGGGCACAGGAAGGGCAGAGCATCCCTGACCAGCAGCCTCCACCCACCATGTTCCAGGGAAGTGAGAGATAAGACTAAGCAAAGGAGACAGTGGATGCCATCAAGCCAGGCTTCTAGTCATCTTCGCCTCTCCCTCCTGCCTTCAGGACCCTTCTCTAGAATTCACAGGGCACAGACCTGGCCATAGTTGAAGAAACTATGACAATCACATCTGTCCTCCCATGCACCTCCTACTGTAGCAGCAGAGAGAAAGAGGGTCACCTCTCACCTCCCACCAGGGTCCCCCACTGTAATAGGGTCCCAAACCCACCTCATACTGAGTGATAAGACCATTGGGCTCCTGGGGCTCCTCCCACTTGAGGAAGATCATGTCCTCCAGTGGAGTGAAGGTCAGGGACTCGGCTGCAATCCCACCGGGCACTGCAAGGGAAAGGTGGCAGGGGTCAGGGGAAACTAGGCTTTGGTGCCAGACACCTGGGTTTAAATTCCAGCCTTGCCACTTCCCACCTGGTTCTCACAGACTACTTAGCCTCTCTACACCTTACTTAACTCAGCTGTGAAGTGGGGATGAGACAACCCCTCTCAAGCCAGGACTCAATGATGTGATGTACATAAAGCCCCAAGGCAAACATCAGCAATTGCATATGGCTCAACCTATTACTAAGTACTCAAAATGGATAGCTGGCATTTTCATTACTGTGTAGGTTGCATTCAGGAGAGAAATACGTTTGAAGGTTCCAATTTTGTTCCAGTTGGGTAGTTTTCAGAAAATATGCACGTGTGCCGGAGAAATGAAAACAGCAATTGCACTGGGGTATTGGGATTATGGGTGGAGATATTTTCTTGTCTAAAAATTTCTAATTACATAAATGACATGTTCAATGTAGAAAACCAAAATGAGCTTAAAGAAAATTAATGGCATCTACCATTGTATCACCCAGAGATACTGTTAACATTTCAGCATTAACACTTGCAGGCATGGCTTTGTTTTGTTTTGCTTTTGTGTAAATGTATACTGTTAATGCCAGGCACAGGAGTGTCATTTAGGAAGAGAATGGTCTTTGCTTGGGAAAACACCTTGATAAACCACTACGGGGAAGCTGAAGTCCTAAGGCAGAGAAAAGCAGTAACTAAGGAAGGAGCTGAATTTTGCGTCTAGGCCAATGCTGTGCACAACAGAAAACTATGCACGTGCGGCAGCAAGACAAAGCCAAGGAGCTTGGGGTACCTGGGATCTGCAGGAACCCAGGGGAAGGCTTAGGACCTGTGCTAGTATTCGAGTGTAGCTCTTAAGAATGACAACTTGTTGGCGCGGTGGCTCACGCCTGTAATCCCAGCACCTTTAGGAGGCCGAGGCAGGCGGATCACTTGAGGTCAGAAGTTCGAGAACAGCCTGGCCAACATGGTGAAACCCCGTCTCTACCAAAAATATAAAAAATCAGCCTGGCATAGTGGTAGGCGCCTATAATCCCAGTTACTCAAGAGGCTGAGGTGGGAGAATCGCTGGAACCAGCGAGGCGGAGGTTGCAGTGAGCTGAGATTGTACCACTGCATTCCAGCCTGGGCAACAGAACAAGACTCAGTCTCAAAAAAAAAAAAAAAAAAAAAAAAATGACAACTGTGAAGCCAGATGGCCAGGTTAGAAAGCCAGCTCTGCTACCTCTCTACTGGTCATGTGACCTCTTCTGTAAAATGGGAATAGAAATAGTAACCTACCACATAGGGTTGTCATGGGTATTAAATGCAGTAATATATTAAAACCATTCAGAATGGTGCTTGACATGTACTAAGGGCTAAATATTAGTTTGACATATGTAGAACACTGCATTCAACAGCAACAGAATACATGTTCTTTTCAAATACACATGGAATGTTTACCAAAATTTAACGATATGTTGGGCCATAAAGTAAGGATCAAATTTCAAAAGATAAAATTTAGAGTATATACTCTGACTACAGTGGAAGTAACCGAGAAATCAATAATAAAAAGACAATTAGAAAAGTCCCAATTGCTGGCCAGGTGTGGTGGCTCATGCCTATAATCCCAGCACTTTGCAGGGCCAAGGTGGGCAGATCACCTGAGATCAGGAGTTCGAGACCAGCCTGGCCAACATGGCAAAACCCTGTCTCTACTAAAAATACAAAAGTTAGCCAGGCGTGCTGACAGGCGCCTGTAATCCCAGCTACTCAGGAGGCTGAGGCACAAGAATCGCTTGAACCCAGAAGGCGGAGTTTGCAGTGAGCCAAGGTTGCGCCACTGCACTCCAGCCTGGGTGACAGAGTGAAACTGTGTCTCAAAAACAAACAAAAAAGAAAAGTCCCAATTGCTTAGAAATTAAGCAACATAAATCTAAATAACTCTTAAGTCAAAGAAGATGGTGTCACTGCACTCCAGCCTGGGCAACAGAGCAAGACTCTGTCTCTAAATAAATAAATAAGTATTATAAACAACTTTATCTCAAGAAATTTGACAATTTAGGTATAATGAACAAATTGCTTAAAAAAACACAGTCCATCGGGCCAGGCGCAGTGGCTCACGCCTATAATCCCAGCACTTTGGGAGGCCAAGGCGGGCTGATCATGAGGTCAGGAGATCAAGACCATCCTGGCTAATACAGTGAAACCCCGTCTCTACTAAAAGTACAAAAAATTAGCCAGGCATGGTGGCAGGAGCCTGTAGTCCCAGTTACTCGGAAGGCTGAGGCAGGAGAATGGTGTGAACCCGGGAGGCAGAGCTTGCAGTGAGCCAAGATAGTGCCACTGCACTCCAGCCTGGGCAACAGAGTGAGACTCCATCTCAAAAAAAAAAAAAAACACACAGTCCATCTAAACTGATACAAGAATAAAAAATCTGAATATCCCAGTATCTATTTTAAAAATTAAAATTTACTAAAAATCTTGCCACAAAGAAAACTCTATGCCCAAATGGCTTCACTGCTGAATTCTTTCAAACACTTAAGGAAAGAAAGTAGACCAATCTAACCCAAAGTCTTCCAGAGAATAAACAGGAGCTATCATTACTTTGGTGTTATACAGTTGGTTTAATCCTAAGCAAAAAAAAAAAAAAAAAAATACCCTCAGTAAATTTCAGTCTCAGACATGGCGTATCTATGGAAGGCACACAGGGCCCTGGGAATTGGGGCTGAGACTCTTACCATCCTCATCCGTCTGAAAGGTGACCTCCTTGCCCTCTTTGCGCCCCTCAGGGTTAGTGAGGACAAGCCTCACATGAACGTTCCGATAGGGCAGCAGGTTCTTGATGGTGTAGCGGCTGACACCTTGCTCTGTCTTCACACACTCTCGGATGGTCTGGTTGTGGCTGCTGCCCAGGATGTAGTGATAGCACAGCGACACGGTATAGGTGTGGCAACGCGTCACATTGTAGCCCAGTGGTTCCCACTGCAGGGTCAGCTGGCGGGCCTGGATCTCAGCGAAAGCCAGGCCTTTGGGGGCCCTCATGGGCTCTGGAGAACACAGGAAGCAGAGAGAAGAGGTTAGAAGAAATGGGAAGAGAAGAGGAAGAAGAACAGAGAGAAAAAGCATCAGTCAGCTGCCTGAAATCATCCCTCCATTGCCCCCAAGAGCTCAGGGGGCCCCTCCCAAAGAATATCAAACAGGAAGTAAGTGTGTGCTCTGGAGTCAGGTGGGCTACATTTGAATCCTGGCTCTGCCACTTGCAGCTGGCAACTGCTGGCTGCATCACTTCACCCCTCTGATCCTTAGATTCCTCAACTACAAAATGGAAAGATAATAGGCCCTGCCTCATAGGATCATTGTAAGGTTTAAGGAAATACACACAAAGGATGCATGACAATGGCTAATATACAATAAGCTCTCAAAAATATTTGCTTTTTTTTTTTTTTTTTTTGAGACAGAGGCTTACTCTGTCACCCAGGATGGAATGCAAAGGCATGATCTAGGCTCACTGCAACCTCCACCTCCCAGGTTTGAGCAATCCTTCCACCTCAGACTCCCAAGTAGCTGGGATTACAGGCATACACCACCACACCTGGCTAATTTTTCTATTTTTGGTAGAGACAGGGGTTCAGCATGTTGGCCAGGCTGGTCTTGAACTCCTCAAGTGATCCGCCCACCTCAGCCTCCCAAAGTGCTTGGGTTACAGGCGTGAACCACCGCACCTGGCCATTAATTCATTTTTAATAGCATAGTTCACCTCCTTATTCAAGATCACCCTGGACTACATACAACAGGCCAGTCTGAATCAAACTGTTGATACATTTTTCTTAAGGTATTAATTCCAAACTTGTTCTGAAACATTGTATAGTAATACATATAATATAATAACATACAGAAATCAGGGTAATGAGGGGAATGAGAGCCAAATAGTTAAATAAAGCCAGGGAATGACAGGGAAACAGAAAAGAAATACATGACATTAGGTCCTATGTGGAGGTCTAAAGATAAGGTTCAAATTCAGTGGTGGGTTCCCTGGCTGTCAAAGCAAAAAGGGAAGCACAATCTATTATATAATGATAATAATAATAGGCTGGGCACGGTGGCTCACGCCTGTAATCCCAGCACTTTGGAAAGCGGAGGCAGGTAGACCACCTGAGGTTAGGAGTTTGAGACCAGCCTGGTCAAGATGGAGAAACCTCATCTCTACTAAAAACATAAAAATTAGCTGGGCATGGTGGCACATACATGTGCCCAGCTACTCAGGAGGCTGAGGCAGGAGTATTGCTTGAGCCTGGGAGGTTGAGGCTGCAGTGAGCCATGATCGCACCACTGCACTCCAGTCTGAGTGACACAGTGAGACCCTGTCTCAAAAAAAAAAAAAGAAAGAAAAGGAAAGAAAAGTCAAGCCAAGGCTTCTGAAGCAAATGCAAGATGGAGCTCCGGGCTCAGCCCATAGTCCTGCATCTGCATTGACCAGCTGTGTGATCTTGGGCAAATCTCTGGGCCTCAATTTCTGGATCAGTAAAATGAGGGAAGACACCAAGATTGTGCCAAATGATCCTTTTCTCTCTTGCACCCTGATTCCGTCAAGTGTAGTTTCACTACTCTCAAGTTCTGTGAGGGCCTGCAAAGTGTCCCTAGCTAGAGGGACCTCAGCATCCCTTAATGAACAGGTGAGAAAGCACCGCTACACAATCTCTTAAGAAGAATAAGTACAACCCCAAGGAGTCTTTTTTTGTTTGTTTGTTTTCGTTTTGTTTTTTTTGAGACAAGGTCTTGCTCTGTCACCCAAGCTGGAGTGCAGTAGCAGGATCACAGCTCACTGCAGCCTTGATCTCCCTGGCTCAAGTGATCCTCCTGCCTCAGTCCCCCAAGTAGCTGGCACTACAGGCACGTGCTACCAAGCCCAGCTAATTTTTATATTTTTTGTAGAGATGGGGTCTTGCTGAGATGCCCAGGCTCATCTCAAACTCCTGGGCTCAACTGATCCTCCTGTCTCTGCCTCCCAAAGTACAGGGATTACAGGCTTGAGCCACCACGCCCAGCCCCTGGTGGCAATTTTTGTGTGATTAATTTGTTCAGAATTCCCCTTATGAAGAAGATACAAAGGGAAGCATTTGCCCAGGCTGCTCCTATCTTGGGAGTGCACCGGTAACACAGTTTCCAACTCTGGCCCCAAGTACAGCACAATAACAAGTTTCTGTTTCCACCCAGAAGGTTTCCTTTCTTCCCTGGAATGCACACAAGCAGCATGTCTCCAGTTATATATGGAGCCATCCAAGAGAGATTTCAGCACTCACTAGGAACAAAGCCTGCCTCCTGACTGGCTCCCTTCTCCCCACAAGCAGGGCCCACCCAAATCCCATCCCATATGGACACTGAGGGGTTGGCTGCCACTGCTCCCTGTATCCTGGGTACTGTAGGCTGCAAGCCCATTCACCACACTTAGGTTTTCTCTCCCATTCCTGGCCCATAGAGATTTTTCCGATTTTTTTAATGTAGTTTTGTTTTAAGCCATCATTCTTCTATGTTTGCACCAGAGGGTCAGATGTGGGGTGTGCTCACTCGCCATCTTTCCCAGAGGTCCTCGCGTTATTCTCCGACTCTCTGGCCGTGGTCCTGGCTGCCCTGTGTGCACTGTCCTGGGAGTCTACAAGAGCCGAGGTACCACTGCTTTATTTGCACTACTGGGAGTGGCTCTCTGTTCCCTGCAGCTCGGCTCACACCATCCCCACCCCCTGGAATGCAGCCCTACATTCCTTTCCAGCCTCTAGGGCTTGGCAGAAGCACTCTGCTTCCTAGTCCTCCTGTAGCATTTACAGAAGGGCAGGAGAAGTTCCATGTAAACGGCAGACCTATGCTGGGTGAAGACCATGGCAAACAGGACAGTAGATGTCCCATCCAAAAGTGGCAGCTACTGCTCACCTCTAGATGACTGCTGCCAAGCAGGACTACAGGTTCACGGTTGCCAGATCCTCCCATTTTTCAAGAGGAGCCAGAAATTCCGATTTTCATGTGAAATCTCCAGATTTTTAAATACTGGCAACCTACTCAAGCTTCTTAAAAATCACCTTACAGGGTCCAAGATAGCAACTGTGGAGGATGAAACTCCCAACTTCAGACTTAGGCATCTCATTCTTCGACAACTGTGCTACCTCCCGTCTACCCAGGTAGACTGAGGGCTCTTTGAAAAGAAGGTCCCACTTCTCTTTTTTCTTCCTCCCTACCCTGATCATATCTGGACAGATCCAGGGAGCTCAAATAGTTTGTTGCCTACAGACTGATATGTTGATTGAGGGGTGTGAATCCATGAGCTTCTCCATGTTTCTAAAAACCATCTGGTACCCAGACACACTCTCTTCAGCTGTCAACACACATTGACAAAACAGAATCTGGGGACCTCAAAGCCCCATCCCTCTAAATTACACAGGGCTACAGGTCACTCAGAGATCAGAGGTCAAAATGCACATTAAAACAATGAGGATAACATTTAACAGCTGTTGAATTAGGCCACCATGTGTTGACTTTAATAAGGCTAAACAAGATGCAATAACCCTGAAATGTTCAACTTTTTTTCACAGGAGGAGCTTTGGACTGGGATCTGGTACACCCAAGTTCACATCCTATCTCCACCCCTCATTAGTTATTTTTATTCTTTGTTTATTTGTTTGTGTTTGTTTTTTTGAGACAGAGTCTCACTGTCACCCAGGCTGGAGGGCAGTGGTGCTATCACTGGCTCACTGCAGTCTCAAACAATCCTCCCACCTCACCTTTCTGAGTAGCCGGGACCACAGGCACATAACATCATGCCCCCAGTTAATTTTCTGTATTTTCTGTAGAGACGGGGTTTCACCATGTTGCCCCAGGCTGGTCTCAAACTCCTGAGCTCAAGTGATCCACGTGCCTCAGCCTCCCAAAGTTCTGGAATTACAGGTGTGAGCCACGGCACCTGGCCATACTTCTGTGGCTTCAGGCAAGTTACTTAATCCCCTTTGAATGTGGATGTCAGGTTCCTCCACTAAAAAATGGAGATTATGGCTGGGTGCAATAGCTCATGCCTGTAATCTCAGCATTTTGGGAAGCCGAGGCAAGAGGATCGCTTGAGCTCAGGAGTTTGACACCAGCATGGGCAACACAGTAGTGAGACCTCATCTCTCTACAAAAATATAAAAATTAGCCAGGCATGGTGGTGCATGCCTGTAGTCCCAGCTACTTGGGAGGCTAAGGTGGGTGGATAGCTTGAGCCCAGGGGATAGAGGAAGCGGTGAGCCAAGATCATGCCACTGCACTCCAGCCTGGGTGACAGAGTGAGACTCTGTCAAAAAAAAGAAACAAAAACGTAGATTATAACGCCTAAAGAGCAAGTGTGAGAGTTACACGAGATGATATGAGTCAAATTGCCCAGCCTACAGTCATTACCAGCCTATCGTAATTAATAAACATGTGTAAATTAACATGAGATGCCAGTAGCAGTATAAATTAGCACGACCATTTTTTAAAGCAATGTATTTAAAATCCCTTTTTTCAACCACTCCTGACTCTTTATCCTAAAGAAATAACTCGGGGTGGGGGGAGAAGGGAAGAACTACAAGTGCTAGATTTCTTAATATAGTATTATTTATCATTATAGAGGTCTGGAGGGAAACAGTCGAGCCAAATGGGGACATTCAATGGACTTCTAGAGTCAATAAACATAATTATAAACAACATAACACATGTAACACCACCAAGCAAATGAAGCAGCATACAGAATGCTTTCTACATCCCAATGCAAGGGTAGAAAAATGTCTACTGCAGGCATATGGGCAGAGATGTGAAGAAGTCAGAAAAATTAAAACAGCTGTTGGGCTAGGATGATGAGCTTCGGAGTGCTTATTTTTAAAAACGCCTTCGCCTGAAGCTATATTATTGTTTTTACAGTAAATAATATAGTGTGAGGGGAGTTTCATGGGGATGGAGGAGATGACAACACAGCTGGCCAACAGCAAAACAACTGCCGGCCAACGCGCCTAAGCAGGGAGGGGCCACGATGTCAACAAAGAGAAGC